GACGTCACTTCCGGTCTGAAAACTTGTAAAGAATCCGATAGCATCAGTGTGTTTGAGCGCACTAGTATAGCATAACGTTGTGTTTATTTCTTAAATATTTAACCACGGGGTTCGCTCTCTGCCAATTGATATTTCGTATATAACGAGTAACAAACTGGATTACTTCGTATATAACGAGTAACAAACTGATGTCATCCACTTGATGTGTCTCTTATCCATATCACCATTACTTATGCTTTTGATTATTTTGCTTTCGGTATTATTGAAGATGTTATTGATTTTCTTGTAACCTAAAACGACAACAATTTATCATTTTCCGTTTCCACGTGCAGACATACCAATGCAAGGCACCGCCTCGAGTTCTGTGGGATTTCGGATACACACGACTCCTTCGAAGTTCGTCCATCTGTGCGACCCCTCTTTAGAAGGTGCTTGTCAAAAACTTCACCTTTGTGCGGGGTTGAAGGGGGGGGGGGGGTGAGAGGTTCGAAGGTAGGTGCTGTTTCAGTCTTACAACCGATCCACATTTTGTGAAAATCACCCACCCATTTCCCAAAAAGGCCTCCAGTTGTTAACTATAACAGATGTCAATCAAGGGAGGTCCCCTTCCTTTGTCCCCCCCCCTATTCCACGCCTGTTTTTTACGCCTCCAGACAAGTTTTGTAATAGAATCTACTGTAAGACTAAAAGGAATAGTGATTATAGAGTGCTTTCCGCATCTCAAAGAAGTACTAATCAATGGCGAAGACTTTGGACTTCAAGATTTTATACTAGTTTTCCCGTCGTCACTAATCCGGGGAGGAATGGGGTAGGGGCAAGTGGAAAGGACAAAATTCTACGAACAAAAAGTTCTCCTTGCAGCCTGGAAGCGCCTCGATTACACCTATATTCTAATCTCCTTTTCAAGCAGATGAATATGGCACACATTTGAGATCGCAGATTGTTCTTGCTGAGAGCAGAGAAGTAATCAAAGACCACTTGGCTAAGCCCTAAATCTTTGCGGACGTCGTCGGTTGGTGTAACATAAGATATTCCTGGACGCCATAATCTGTCATGGATATTAGTATCCTATGTGATCCACTCTACGGAGCTGAGACCCACTCAAATGCATTTCCTTGATTCTAGATGGTAATGGGTCGCTGCTCATTAAAGTAGTACTAACTAAAGCTGCAAATAAAATAGCTTGATTGTCGTAAGCAACACCATCAATGTTCCGCAACATTGAGGTGTCACCATCCGCTTGTGTGTCGGTCAGGAGGTCTACGTTGCGGCACCGATGAGAAACTGGGTCACGCGTACACCACAGCCTGGTGACTCATCTTAGTTGTTAAACGTGCTAAATGCGCTGCTTGCGTGACGCCACCGCCCCAACGCGGAACTCCTGGCCCGAAATTCTCACACTCATTATTCATGTTCATGACATCCTCCGCTCTCACTACTCTCGAATATGTCCCAGTCCGGGCTTATCGTTGGGGATTCTCCGGCAGGGGATCTTATCGCTGGGGTAGGGTGTCGTGTTTGCTCTAAGAAGCTTTTTTATCGAGAGTTGATTTTTCTTGTTCCATGGACGCTATAATGGGAGGGGGCTGCATTCGCTCGTTGTTGAGAGAACGAGGGTCGTATTTGTCTTCTGTCTTTCTGAAAGAGGTCGTTGACTTTTCGTGGTTTTTCCTGTTTCAGTTGCAACATATATTCATCCCCCCCCCTTCGACAGCAGAATATTTGGGAAAAACTAGAAAAGTTCCCAGAAAATCCCAAAGAAACTGGTTCGAAGTTGGGAAAATCTTAGAAAAAGGTAGGTATGATGGGGAAGAGAGGGTGTCGAACTTTTCTCGCGGTTTTTTTTTCCATTTCATACGTGCTGTTTACTCCCTTCCCCCTTCACAGCTCGATGAGGAGGGAACTAGCTCGAGGGGAGGGGTCGTATCAGGCCACCTTTTAGAGAGGCTACCAAAATCCCCAACTAATGATGTGCCCTGGTCCCACCCAGTGCTTGTCATCTTCCTAGTCAGATGCAACTCGCGTCCTTTATTCTTTTCTCCGCGCAGTTCTACTTGGGGGGGGGGGGACTTTTTGCACTTCGCTTATTCCTTGGGCTGGTTTCATGTTAGCTTACAACTTTGTTAAGACCTCAAATACTTGTTTTGGAGCTGCGGAGTGTTTCAAATGATTCATTTTAGCAACAGTAATTGACAACCCTCCACAACCTGACCTGTACAAGTTTCGCTAAGCAGCATTTGGCACCCTCACCAAGTCGAATTGCGCCCTTTTCTTGACTCACCTGCCATCAGTAGACATAGATGGCAAAAGCTGTGCCAACTACTGTTATAAAGAATTTCTCTGGTTTTTTACTACTCTCTTTGAGTAACGTCATGGAAATGGTAACTAGATCTAAGTGAGATGTCGCGCTATTTCCGCTCTTCCGTGACCCTCTAGCTCTTCATTCTTCAGAATCCATACCTGATTTTGGCTATTTTGGCTAGATTAGGTCGAACCGTATGTTTGAATGGAGAATCTTGTCGTTATTAGTCCGGATACGTTCCCAGAGGTTTTACAGAAGTATGAGAAATTCTTCAAAACGACATGTTTTGACTGGAAAGGTGACAGGTAGGTGATTTTTTCCCACTGCACACGCACACAGATGATGCCAGACTTCTGTATGAGTGTGAATGATTCATGATAATGGATCGGGGTTTAGTGATGGCGGATACAGGAAAGCCAGGGGATAGTGGAGTAGTTAAGACAGCTCTCATCATCTTTTGCGCCGTATCCCTCTGATGATTGATATGTTTAGGCCATTTATCGCATCACCGTTCATGCCTATTGCTACACCGCTCGCCATTCCACTGGAACGTCGTGCACCAACTCGCGAATCGACGGACGCAAAGCGGAATCTGGCCTATGGCAGTAATCGACGTGCAGACGAAGGGCTTTTGGACCAGGAGGAACAGCAGGCAACGAGTAGCACTGAGGAGTGAGTTAAGAAAGATTTTGCGAGCGTTTTTAGGGCCACAGTTGATAACCTCGCAATCAGTCGGGGCGGTTTCAACATGATGGGAGGAGCCTACTTGCGGCTTTCCTACCAATGGTTGTTCCCTTCCTCTACTGATCATCAAACGGTCGCAACTGGTAGAGCAAAGCAGCCGGAGCCGGCATCATTCCTCCCCTGCTGCCACCGCCCCGACTTAAAGCGACGTTATCTACTATAAATCTAAACTTCTATATAACTTGCTTTCAAAGTTTTGCTCTTTCAAACGCCTATAGCGGTTGGTCTAAGCTAGAGCAGCGCAACTTCCACGACGGTGGTCAACTCAAAATTACAAGCACGGTGGTCAGCTTAGAACTCATAATTTGCTTAAACGTGCGAACTGCTGTTTACCGTCACAGTTCGCGTCGTGGGGTTCGAGTCCCGCCTGTGCTTCGACTTTTGCCCACAACTTAGCATACTTGTGACACCTTTTTGAGGAGTTTCTCGCTTTATTCCTCGTCATCCATCACCATTTAAGATCTACGGAATCCCTTCCAATGTTCAAGTGCTACTCACCAGTCTTTCAATAGAGGACGTGATTTGGGGCAATACTAACAGTAAGTAAAAAAAATGGGGAAACTGTGGGCGCTCTTGATAAGTAGTGACCGCTCTCGCGATCGCTCAGTTCTCAGTCCGTCGGGATCAAAGCGATCGGTCACACCAACTACGCGAAATTTTCAGCTGACGCGAACTTTTGAGCGCCACTTACCAGGGAAGTCCGCTAACATAGAACTTTGAATGGAGACCTGGGTAGATCGATAGAGTCTATAAGGTTATATACAAATACAAATAGCAAAACTGCATTTCACAAGCAACTTATGAGCAGGCAAATTTTGTGATGGTGCAGCAGGGTGGAGGCTTGGTGGTGAGTTGTGAAGCATAAACGAGGAATCTCATACATCGAATCGAGTCGTGGTGGTTCAGTGTAAGGTTCGACGTTCAACGACTCGATTTGATGTATTTTATGCTTCACAGCTCACCACCAAGCTTCCACCCTAATGCACCATTACAAACTTTACTTGCTTATAAGTTGCATGTGAAATGCAGGTGCAGTTTTGCTCTCTATATTCGTAAATTACCTTATAGACTCTATCGATCTACCCAGGTCTCCATTGAAAACTCCATGGTATGTTGGCGATCTTCCCTGGCTAAACCGTCCAAAGTACTGGTTTTTTTAGTTTTCAAAACAAACCGACCTAATTAAAAAGTTAGACCTGCCAGTGCCTAATAGTTCCAGGAAAGATCCGATGAAAAGCACTTGTGAAAAGGAAATCCAAATGCAGTTTTCGTGGCGCAAACTTCTATGCCTTTTCATAGGTGATCTTGAGTAAAACCGGCTTAGAAGTGCGTAAGGTTCCTGCTATTTTGAAAATTCCACACTGCACTATCTAGTAATGGGTGAGTTCGCTCTTATGGCCCAGTTTCCATCCCCACTCACATACAATCTGGGTTGATGAACATCCCATAATGACTACTTGTCCTGATGAAAACCCTGCTGTCAAGAATTTTACTGGGCTTATGGTCACAGCCTCCAAGCTCCTGTGAAATAAGAGGGCTTGAGAAATTTCCATGGAAGGGGCTGAAAAATGTCCTAATTATGATTTCCAACCCACTTCACGCAACTCTGGCGAACGCGTGAAGCGATTTATAGCGATAGGTCAATTGCCATTAATTGGAGCCACTAACCAAAACTGTAGGCACCCACCCAAGAAGAACAGTGGGGACTTAGAGCTTAATTTGAATCCCAGTTGTCTTGTCTCACTTTCCCAAAACGATGTTCGACCTGAATATTCAGAAGAAAAGCTGTTTTTCTCATAAGACCACAATAAAGCTGTGCTTTATGAAGTGATATGAAATGCTATTTTCGTTGAAAACTGTCCCTCGTTATCAGTGGGTGGTGAAGGGTTTTAGAAAGAGTCAAAAGCAAGTTTATTGAAGTGTCTCATGGTGTTTCCCTACTTTCTCTCCTTTTATGCATCATGAACGTTCCAGTGAATCGGCATCCGACGAGGATGAATCGACCATCTCGGCAAAGGTACGACTAGTTTCTCCACATGATTTTAGTATCTTATT